ATGCTTTACCGTTTTGTAATTTCTTGACAACGGTTTTGGTGAATTAAATTTAGTTAGGAATAAATATGTAATTCAATCAAATAAAACCAAAAAATAAGTTTCTTTAGTTACTATATCAACAAATACCTTTTTAATTGTCAAGGCTTGATTGTTATAAAATATTATGTACAATGTATTATGTACCAAAAGACATATTGCATATATGACGGAACAATAATTTGGATATAGTTCATTAGTTTTAAAACCATACTTTTAAGAAATACTTATAGTGTCACTATACATCTCATCTTAAGTGCTAATTATTAAATGGAATTATTAATAGAGTGCATGATATTCAAAAACCAAAAGTTAACACATAAAATCATAAATTATACAAGAAATGAGTAATAAACACATATTATAATGACTGTAAAAAATAATACCAACCTCTATAAAAGTAAATGTCACAAACAATTAAAATAATTAGGTAGTGTAAATATCTAGCATAGGTGAGTACTTAACTAATAGGTATTAAGTATCAACTATCTATTATGTAAAAACTTTGTAATATTTTAATTTCATAAACCTTAAAAGTACTTAGTTAACTTTTTAATAAATATTTATTTTCTATATGTTTCTTACCTGTTGGCTGTTAAAGTTGATTATTTTTTAATTGTCTAGTACAATTTAAGCAACAAATTTTTAAGTTTAAAGATAATATATTAAATGTATTTAATTTTACTTATATTAATTGTAGGTATATTGCATCTATATTATCTATAGGACATAATGACTATACATAGATAATACATTTCAGTAATTAGAAAATAGTGTAGAACCAAGTATTCAATCATGTTCTTGTTATTTAATACTTTGAATTTGAATAACTTATAATCAAAAAAAAAAAAAAAATAGTAGGTCAGATTTTTAGTTTAATTTAATTTTTCAAACAACTAAATTAAATTTAAATAATAAAACATTTTTGATAGTGAATTGTATTTCAAAAATCAGCTTTATTCGCAAAAAATATTGTACACATTGAATAAATATATATACATAGAATCACAAAGTATAATGAATAAATTGTAAATAATAAATAATTTTTAAGTAAATAGGTACATATAAATCAAAAAGAAATAGCTAAGACTTTAAAATAAAATTGATATATATTAAAATATAATAGACTTCTTATTTAATTTAACAAAAATTGTTCAATACAGGCAATTTTATATAATAAATCTTATTAGGGATTGCTTCATCATTCAATGTAATCCTGTGGTGTCAAACCAAGGGCATTCAAACTTGTACAGTTGTAACTCTTATATGGTGTACATCTATTACTTTAAAAAAAACACCAAGTTTATCACAGAAGAATGATAAATAACAATTTAGAATATAATATGTAGGAGCATATAAGAAGCTACATTTTTGCAATTTTCACAAGTCTTGTTTAAAGCTATTTACCTATTCCATAACCAAATATTAATATATTAATATAATCTATTAGGTATTGTGATAATAAATAAATAATTCTAAGTAAGTACCTAGGTATAAATAAAATCAATTAGACAATGCATTAACAATATTTAAAACAATTTGGTATTGAATTGTTTAAGTAACACATATTATATACATAATATACTATATATAAATAACAACATTAATGTTTAGCTCCATGGAATTTATGTATTTCTACAATTGAACCAATCAAATGGTTAAAATAAAATGATTTAAAAATAAATATTCTTCATGCTATTTAAAATTATATAGTAATACCTACATACCTACAGAAATTCAAAAATCATAAGATAAATATACTAAATAGGTATCTACCGGGGTACCTACAAATATAAATTTTGAAAAACTAGTTTGTAATTTGCATCATTAATCAATAATAATCAAAAATGAACATAACCTTCCAAAAAAGAGGATGCAATAAAATATCTGTATATTATTATAAGTATAGAAAAATAATAATAACCTATTAATTAAAATAATAATAGCATTGAAGTAGGTAACATAACAGCTTCTCTCCATATCAATTAATTTGATGAATAAAAAAAATCCATAGGAAGGAGTGTATAAATTACCTGGAGCAATACTTCTCAAGGACATGGTAAAAGTGAAGAAGTGATTGTATAGAAAATAGAAATAGAATATACCTACCTACCACAAAATATACTAAACTGATCTACCAATGATATGTGATTTGTAATCTTAATTTATAAAAAGTTTAATTTCATAACTGTAAAAAAGAAATTTTTACTAAAAAGTCATAACTAGGTGGGTATTGCATATGTTTATAAGTATAAAATCAGCCATGAACATTTCTATACTTAAGACAAGTTGTACATTATTTTACATTTTATTTATACACTAAATACTTAGGTAAAATACATTTAATGTCTAATACAAAAGGTAGAATACTTGCTATTATAATAGTTATTATTATTGTCCTCAAAAAAGCAACAAATATCTTGAGTATTATAGGCATATGAATATTAATAAATATAGGTTGATTATTACTTATCAGATTTTTTTTAAATAAAATATACTATGTAATAGTATACATATTTTATTGAAAGGTCATAATAGATTTTATGTTGTTTTAAGTGTGTTACAGACATATGCAAACTTATTATTTAAAATCAAATTAACTACAATAGGTACTTACACAATAAATTATGTTAATTGTCATTGAAATAATACTGAATTATTTAATGTGTTGACCAAAGCAATCCTAATATTCTATTTTCTATATGATAAAAATATATATATATATATAAAATAACACTAGATAGGTACGTGCATGTAAACACAAGTGTGTTTTCCAACGATAAAATTGTTTCATGTATGTACATGCAGAAAATTAATAATATTAATAATATTACATTCCAATACCACCGTTTATCTATATCTAATAGGCAACCAATAGCCAATAGGTACTTGCCCGATTGCACTTTAATGACATAGCGTCTGAATTAATTTGTAATAATTATTATATTATTACATAGCAATGTGGTGATGGAAAATAAGAAAATGCGTATCGAGCAGTTAGGAAGGTACTTACCAACCGAACTGGGACGAGCAACGGTGAATCGTCGACGGTGGTTTTGGGTAGAATTTGGCGAAAACTAAACGTAATGTGTCAGTTTACTTTTTGGCCGAAATCAATAAATTTCAACAATGAAAACGAAATATTCTAGTACTCGTTCGTCCACTGTATGTACACACAATATATTGTTATTAAAATATCAACATCTAATATATACACGAATAAAAGGGACACAACGGGAAAAAGAACGGCACCGGACCAGATAAAGCTATACGTTCGTGTGACAATGCGATTTGTGCAATGACTAGTGAGAAATAAACTAGCGACCGTCGAGTGCTGACTGACGACTGTCGACTGATTCGACTGTATTGTATATTACTATATTATACGTAATATTTAACTWTWTGTATAAGTGTTGGCAAAGATGCGATAGCTGTAAAAGTRGTGGGGAGAAATAAAATTGACAAAAACTTCATTGCAGCAGCTGCCAGCTGAAACTATTGATAATAAAGTATACCAGTTTCTTATACCTTATACCACCGTGTCTGTAACCACTGTAACAATCAGCTGTGAAACCGCAATGAACGTGGCGACGGGTTTCGTGTGTCATACCACCAATGATTACGTGCGACCACCATAGATAATCAAGAATTTATTATCTATGGGTTATGGCGACCACCTAATAAATGAATCACACAAACTATATATAATTTTGTAATTTGTAGGCTATTCTGGACTTCTGGAGTACGACGACGGAATATTTATTTTAAGATAATATCTTGTTTCATGTAATCCACTAATCCACGGTAGAAATATTCTATCATTATGCAATCATGACGTCTTCGACTTTAAGATTTAAAATTCACGAACATTTCGTGACGCTCATGGGAAATCGTCTATGGACGTGTTCAACACACAAATTGAGTACAATTTGCATTTATTTTAAATCGTGGTACAACTATGAATTATTATTTAGATCTGTGAGATACCTTTAAGAGGCTTGCACACTATTTAGACGATTAATCAATCGGAGTRACAGACTTAAGTGTATCTATTTCTATATGGTTAACGTGACCATTCATCCCGTTTTTGAGATAAGTGTCCCGCTGTCCCCAAAGAACCTGAAAATGTCCTGCTTTAAGAAAAGTCGACTTTTGTTACCTAGGTGTTTATTGATCACATATCACAATCAGTGATTGACTTGGAAATAAAGTAGTAGAGGTACTCTAGCTACTTTTAAAATGTAGCGTCCCTAGCATTTTAATAAAACTTACATAATCATGGCGGTGGGGGGTTAAAAGTTTACATAACAATCCGTCCCGTGCGTTCCCCTTTAAAAAAGTAGGGGTAAGCTAGCGTATCCAAAAAATTAGTTGAGGAACTCAGTCCCCCCCCACGTCCCCCCCAAGTCAACCACTCATCACAATCATACATTTATACTGTACCGTCTGTACCTATACAGTTTACAGTAAATGTATCTACATATTTTATATTTACTGTAAAACACTATAAGACCCATGGTCCATAGATTGTTGGGAGTTTATTATGACTAATATATTATATCCGTTTTTCTTTTGTCATTTTTTATACAAACAATTATTAATGTTTTTTTTTTCAGTAAAAAAAATTGTAATTATACGCAAAATTATATGGTTTTGTTTTTAAAATATACAAATGTACCGCTTTGAAGAAGAAAAATTATGGTCACGTTAATACGTTATACATGCACATGGTGTATACAATATACATTACTGACAGTGTACAAACTACAAATTATTATAAATTTCGTACCGTAACAATTTTTTCCGACATCGTTTGCACCTTCATGTCGTAGCAAAATGTTAACATTATCATCACGGTAACTACGGTAAAAACATAGGCGCTGCATTATCTCACTACCACTTTGACAACGGTGATTTAATCTGACTACGACCGCACCAGTCCAACGTACGGGGTCGTTATACTTCGTCATCAGCTGGTTTTTGCTTACGTTTTGGTGATAAGCCACAACGAACACAAAATCATTCRTTTCACAATATTGATGTCGGCCGCGGACCCCCACGGTAACGCGACATTGTGACCGTGCTTCTGTGGTAGTTACTACTTTACTAGTTGGCTACTCGTACAACGCATCAGATTCTGTTCGCAGACCGCTCCTCCTATCGAACCGATGAGTGCGCTACTCTAGAGACCGAGACGGCTTTCGCACTGCAAAGTGCAAACGTACGCACGACACGTCGGCCAACTAGTCTGAGAAAATGGACGATGCCGAAATGCGCAAATTGAACGGTGTTATTGAACACTACAAGAGACACATCAGCAGGGCCACCGAATCCAACGACAACCTAAAGGTGCGTAATCGTGAGATAAGCGCACCGGCCCTTGCTGGTGTGCTCGCATCGAAACCCGTCTGATTTCGCGTGTTGGCTTATCTGCTTTCACAAAAAGAAAAAAGCCTCCATCTTAGATCAATTGTTAGACAATTGGAATGGGTTTTGACTGTCCACCACTTGTTCTAAGTCCTTGATGACTTGGCATTTCTCGATTTCCATATGTCACTTTTACCCAATCCTTTATGTGAACTTCTTGCTCTTAAACTATCATCATCTATTAGAATATTGATTTCGGGTTTCCAGCTTTTTATTATTAATGCGACATTCTTTATTAAGAAATTTGGTTCATTGCATATAGATTAGAATAATGCATTTTATTTTGTAGTTTCAGATATATTTATCCGCAGTCATTGTGTTGTCTTCCAATACTGCTTTATTTTTAATATTTAATTTATAAGTATTAAGTATTGTCTTACATTTAATTTTAAGTTATTTCTCAATAATCCACTTTGATGATTGGTTTTTTTACACAATATCATATTTTATTGCAATTGACWCAAAATCGTTTTTAATTATTACAAATGAGATACCTAAGAAAATGTCATTGTAAAAAAATTAATGAATTATTATATCTATTATAATTCTTTCAGCATTAGGTAACCTAAATTTATTATTAACCTATTATTTTCTATTAGTACCAATTGTCTTTCAGTTTACTAATTTGTATTGA